AATACACAACATAATGTTCTTTTTAGCAACGTCATATGACCTCTTTGAAAACATCATGCTTGGCTGCGACTGCAGACATGCCAAACAAAAGATTTGTCAACCTTAATTAAACGGAAATCATGTGGATGCATTTATAGCATGATATTACGTTTAATTTAATATCATTTAATATCATTTAGTAGTAATTAAATTTTACTACTTGAATTTGCAAGCAGTTTACTTTTGTGAAGGCTAAAACTTTAAACGAATGCATGAAAACTGTCATGCATTATGTCTGTGCCCTTAAAAACACAGTCTGTTTTGTAAGTGTCAAGCAGTAATGTGTGCATGATCCACGCTGCTCCAGACTCCATTCACATGCTTTTCATACAGACGTGAAGCTGAACCGCCCCACAGCACTTACGGTCTTCCTCTCCCGCTGTTTTTGAGTGCGAGCGTGCCTTTTACTACCCTGTAGAGCGGTCTTCGCCTGAGAGATTCACATTTAACCACCACAACCACAAAACAAATCAGAGAAAGAGACAGAGATAAACTACTATAACAGCAACAGAGTTTTGCTCTAATAAAATTCAAATAAAGAAAGCGATCATAGAAAAGATGAATGCATGCATTAAATGTCTTTCATTGGCCCTTCATTGTTTTTTTTTTGCTTCACTTTAAATCTGTCTTTTAATGACCTTCATGTTGCGAAGACATATATTTGTGCAACTGTGCAAAGCTCTTTTCCAAGGACAAGATCACCCAAAAATGAAACTTTGCTTAACATATGCTCAGGCCATCCAAGATGTAGACGACTGTTTCTTCATGGAAACAAATTTGGCAAAATTTTGCATTACATCACTTGCACACCAATGGATCCACTGCAGTGAATGGGTGCCGTCAGAATGAGAGTCCAAACAGTTGATAAAAACATCAATAATCCACAAGTAATTCACACCATTCCAGTGCATCAATTAACATCTTGTGAAACAGAAAGCTGCATGTTTGTAAGAAACAAATACATCATTAAGGACTAGGGATGCTCCGATCGCTCGGCCGGAGATCGGTATCGGCCGATAATCACATTTTATGACTCGATCGGTACTCACTACACTTGGCCAATCTCACGAACCGATCGCAATTTGATGACGTCAACGCGTGTTGACGTACATGATGCGTGGGGACATAAATGATTTGGCGCCACGGTCATGTCATCACCGGTGTGGAAATGCTATGACGTTTCGAGAAAAAATGAAAAATTCGCTATTTGTCGTGTATGTTTTGCATGATGATATGATGAATGGATGGTTCATTTTTAACAGCAGATTCAGTGACGTTAGAGCTGATCTGCGCCTCACTGCACACGTCTGTGGCACGTTACAGCTCCAAGGGAACCGGAGCTGATCGCGGCAGCTCTAATGCTTGTGTTTATACCGGCCAGCCCCCGGCACGTATCTGAAGTGGCTCTCCGCGCTGCTTGGCTAAAAATAGTCTTTTGTGCGAAAATTCTCATTCATTCTCTGCCAGCAGGAGGTGTGTTAAAGTGGGAGAAACAGAGGTTTCCCCAGTAACGGCTGTACACAAGGACTTGTATATATTGCAATATTATGGACTTGTATTTTAGCCAGAAGCACAAACACACAGTAACATCCTCAGGCAACTGCACAGCAACCTGCTTCCTCTTACAATATTAATGATGACAGATGAACACAAGACTGAGAACAACAGAGCACACGCATTGCAAAATGCACAGGCACAAACACAACCAAAGATGTCATGCTAGGAAGGAGATCAAGCTAGACCTACTTGCACGAAGTGCTTTTAGGTGAACACAGTTGGACTATATAAAATATTTGAGGTGATCTCTGATTCTTAGTCAGTGCATTTGAGTTTTCTGAAGTGTCTAGTAAGCATATACTTTGAAGATAAGCGAGGAGTCAAGTAACTGCTGACAGAGGAACCAAATACTGCAGCATCAGTGAGAAGAGACCGTGGGAGCTTCTGTCTGTTTTGGGAAATTTATAGAGCCTTTTAAAAAAATCTGTGCACGTGATTTTAGAAATTTACTTCAAAAATGAACATCCCAATTGGATAAACCTACAAACATTAAAATATTGACAAGCAAAGTCTGCAAAAAGAGTGCAGCGGGTCAGCAATTTATTTTAAACGGTCCAATCGATGTGCCAACTTCTAAGCCCAAAAGATATACATATATGTGTAAAACAAAAGTTTGCATGTTTACATTCTATATTACAGTTCTCAAATCTAAAGGTCCATTCAAAACTACTCACATTCTATTCACAAACTATTCAACTTTTATCAGTCTCTGAGAAATACATTTTGATCATTTAGGTGTTTTAGTGAAAATTAAAACATCCATAAAATTAATTTGTTAATGTTAATTTTATCGCAATATCTTTGCTGACAATATAAAATTAGAGAATATAGTGTATATTGTGATTATGTTGAAAGTAAGCAAATTTGAAGTTTTTGTAGGAAGACTGCACTTTTTGTATCATTTTAATTTTTTTTATATTTCACATTTTAAGTACTTAATTTTTAATCGCCATTGATTGACCAGCTATATCAATATATTGGCCGCTCAATATATTGCTGCCGTGTGTTTTGCCGTGTGTTTTGAGTTTGAGCTCCGTCAAGTTAATTCTTTGTCGTCTAATTTTTTATCTTAAAATCAATTTTATACACCACCATTTTCGTTTATATAACGTGTGAATATATCCCCTATCGTATTCTACAACAAAAACAATCAGAGCGCCTTGTTATCATTAGAGTGAAAATTAAAACATCCATAAAATTAATTTGTTAATGTTAATTTTATCGCAATATCTTTGCTGACAATATAAAATTAGAGAATATAGTGTATATTGTGATTATGTTGAAAGTAAGCAAATTTGAAGTTTTTGTAGGAAGACTGCACTTTTTGTATCATTTTAATTTTTTTTATATTTCACATTTTAAGTACTTAATTTTTAATCGCCATTGATTGACCAGCTATATCAATATATTGGCCGCTCAATGGCCCAATATTTGTAAATTATCAGCATCAACATATAATGTAATACACAACAACAAAAGCTCAGTTTTCTAAAACAATTTCTGTTTGCTCGATTTGCCCAACATAGTATAATTAACTCAACCAATGGCATATGTTTGGGGCAGGGCAATCTGATCAGAACAATTGCACATGGGCACCTCACAAACAAATAAATAAATTATTAAGGCTTAGAAATTACACGTTTTTGTTTGTACAAAAACAATCTGGTGTAGAATTTAATTACTTGTGTAGGATTTACTCACTGAACATTTTTTCACTTAAAAATTGCTTGTAAATTTCGCAAATATTTACAAACAAATGGCAAGTAGCACACTGAATTAAACAAAACATTTTTAAGTAGAAAGATTGAAAGAGTATTTATTTGTAAAATTCAATCTTTGTTTTCTTTGAAACTTCAAAAAAATGTAAATTTTATATAAGGGATCAATCTTTGATTTATATCAAAGATATTTCAGCATAATTCTTTTTTTAGTATTTTAGAATAAAGTAATTTAAATAATTTCAGGTTTATGTTTAAATTCAAAACTAAACAAATTAATCCGCCAAATCAGCCGCCACTCCAAATCCTTATACAGTTCATAAATTGTGTATATGGGTTAGTTATCTGCATGTACATTTTACTAATCCATAACTACAGCTGATTTTGTTTCTTCCTGCCAGGGGTACAGAAGGGTTTCTGTAAACATGCTAAAATAGCACAGGGATATTTTTGGAGAGTGAGTGTTTGTACTGTAGCTCCAGTCTTGTGGGTGATCGGCAGCTGAACTAAAAACTGCCCTGTTAATTTCACCTCCAACTTAGTTAGAGCTTCATGAAGTGGAATTAAATCAGCCCTTTAAACTGGTCCCATGCAGGACGACAGTTATCGAGCGTCAGTAATCACTCTTAAATGTGCTTCACAAGACGATTACAGGACCAATTCAGTATGCTCCAAAAATGAGTTGAGATTATAATGAGATTTCTTTCATATTTTGGGGGCAGTACTCACTCCGGCTAGGGATTGCTGGATATTCTGTCGGGCTTTAGCAATGTCCTGCATGATGGCACTAGCATCTCTCTCCTGGAAGGGTACAGCGGTGTAAAAAGGCCCATGTCAAACAAACCAGCAAGAGGCAGAGAGTGAGCATGCAAGCAAGCAAGCAAACAAAAAAGCACAGGTGCATAGAGAAGCGCTGTCAGTGCAGACTATTCAGCACATGAGCGAAAAGAAAAAGCAGACACCTGGAAAAACAGATGATAGATGGATGTACAGCAGCTGAGTAAACAGGAACTCATGCCTCACCATGAGGATTCTGTCACCCTCATTCATTAATACAATTTCTGGTTTGTGTGGAAAGCCAAATGAGGAAGATTTAGACTCTCAAATTGTGCTTTGCTCTGACACCCGGGTCTGTAGGGGGCAGTACCTGAGGTGTCTGAGGGATGCCGTTCATGCCCTCGTAGAAGTGTCTCTCGGCCTCGTCGTATCTGGACTTGTCAAACCAGATGTTCTCCTGGCCGAGTCCTTGAAGTCCACTCATTGTGATGCTAAGAACATACAAACGAGACGTGAGCGTTAGAATTAGCAAACACACAGCTTTAGAAAGACTCAAGTATAAAAAATAAGAATTAAAACGCAAGTCTTTAATGAATTGTTTTATGCAAATCATTCAGGAGTGTGATAAAAGCATGAAAACATAAGCAAGTATAAATCAAGCCAAGCAAGCCGAGCACCATCAATAAGTGCCACGTATGAATGCATACTTCTATTTCAGTATTTTCACATTTTATTGGTTTCAGAACCATTTAATTTATATTAGTTCTCTTGAATTTGGATCCTTACAATTTGAATACAGAATTCATTTCTAGAGATTTTCCCGCATTCAAGTTTTTCTCAGCCCAAACAACTGAATAATATTATAGTTTATTTTTTGAATAAGCAATTATTATCCTTTTTTTTTTTTTTTTTTTTAAATAACCATGTCAGAATCTCCAAAAGCTGGAGGAGTCTTACTTCAACGTGTTGGGTCACACAACCCATGTTTAAACAAAACCACACTTTGAATAAATTGGGAAAAACAAATTTGAGCTAGATTAAACTATCAGAGACCATGATGGGTTAGCTAACCACTGGCTTAATTATAGCAGCCGTGATGGACAATAAATAGCTAAACATAGCTAATGCAAGTAATTTTTTTACTGATGTTGTTGCTATCTGAAAGTCGTGGGGAAGTTGTGGCCTAATGGTTAGAGAGTCGGCCTCGTAACCCAAAGGTTGCGAGTTCGAGTCTCGTACCGGCAGGAATTGTAGGTGGGGGGAGTGAATGTACAGTGCTCTCTTCCACCTTCAATACCACGACTGAGGTGCCCTTGAGCAAGGCACCGAACCCCCAACTGCTCCCCGGGTGCCGCAGCATAAATGGCTGCCCACTGCTCCGGGTGTGTGTTCACGGTGTGTATGTGTTCACTGCTGTGTGTGTGCACTTAGGATGGGTTAAATGCAGAGCACTAATTCCTAGTATGTGTAACCATACTTGGCCACGTCACGTCACTTTTTTTTTTTTTTTTTTAAAACAAGGAACATATAGATGCCATAACAATAAACAAGAATTGAAAAGAAATTACACAAACAATCTTATACAGTATAGTGACAAAATGGGAATATTTATTGGCAACATATTTATACTATACTGTACCTATACCAACCTATTACCAGTTTATACAAATATCTCTATTTTTCATTATTATACTGTAGATTTCCATACATTGAATCGCTGAAATTAGCATTATCAAATGGCTAGTATTTTTGCTTTAGTGAGTAAAATCTATTGTGAGATGCATTGCATTTTGTATTCAAGTATGTGAAAGACCCCTTGTTGTGAACAAACCTTTCATTAGTTATTTGTTCTGATCTAACGATTTCATTCTTGCCGTAAACGGGCCTTTACTGTCAAAGTAAAATAAATTAAAGACTGCAGATGATCAATCGTAAACTTGTATACCCCGTAAACACCAACTTTATGATGCAGGAAAAACTCTAATTATGTTGTCCAGGTCTTGCAGTAGATTTTGTAGAACAGTTATTTGGATTGAAGTCCATTCAACCACTAAAACTCCTTTCATTTATTTTTTTTGCTGACACAGGCTGCAGACAATGGGACAGATTTTGCGTGCCAAAGCCCTCGGATTAGTTTCACACCGATCACCTTTCACCCAGCAGCCAATGGTGACACAAACCAGGTTGAGGCTTTTGAAAGGTGAAAAATATTTAATAAAATCCACAAACAACTCACAAAAACACACCGTTCAATAAATGAGAAGGCAGTTCCTTAAAGTCAATTGTCCCATGCCCCTAAACTAGCCATACTTGTCCCTTTTCTGAGGGGCGCGTTCGGTCTCAGAGAAGACCCTCTTCCTGCTACTTTTTGGGAGCTGGCGATCGGGTTCAGACGAGGAGCGCTGGTGGGTCGAACCCCGCTGCTGTTGACGTGACGCATAGGAACGCGTGTACGTTTGGTTCGCCTCCTCTTGCAGTTGTTGCGCACCGTTGCGTTTAGCTCTGAAGACCAGGGTGCGGGGAATTCGATCATTTGGGGAGGATGAAACCGGAGGTGTCCCGGTCCCTGCGCTCAACAAGGATTGATAAGCGTCGTCGGCCTGCTCATATACGCTGCGGTTGAACCAAACCTTCTCTCCTCTAATGCCTTGAGAGGTCCGATCATGATACAAAAGACCTTTTTCTTCAGAACCCTGATTTTCAGACCAGGACAAACGAGTGTGTTTCCTCTTTCCGTCGTTTGAATTCGGCAGATTCCTTGTCTGTTCGTGTTTAGTTTCTTCTTTGGCTCGAGACCCCCGCTGGCTCTCCATCCTCTAGCTCATTTACAGCATATAAGGAAAAACAAAAAATAGGCAGATGCTGAAAAATTAGCCTGAGCTGATGTTGGACACAGTGAATGAGGGCAGAGGTGGAAACAACCAAGCGCATCCAGAAGCCTTGCAGAACAGCCAGTCCATATCAGCAGAAGACAAAGAGTTCACGAGGGAAACATTCCAATAGGGATTAATCAAGGGAACCAATAAAATTACTTGAAGTTTTGAATTTAGAGTGCAATTTTATTTTAATTTTGTCTGAGATTTTGTATTTGCAGTCTGGTCAAAGATGACAATTAGAGATGTAACAATGCATGCCGAACCGGTTGAAAATCAATGATCGGTTGAGATGATAAACAAAACGCAATATAATTGGGGGTTTACATGAATGTAACTCTGATGGGAACTGTCTTCAGAAAAAGTATAGATGGTATTTTCTTCTCATCTTGTCTTTGTATAACGCATATTAAAGTAGTATTCATAAATGCAGCCCTGCTTTGTTTACAGTGGTAACCAGGGAAACGCTGTATTGCTGCTGCTCCATAAGCGCCACCTGCTGTCAGAGAGTGAATCTGTGCTCTAGTGCAGCCTGTCTGCTGTTTCTGTTTCGTTCAGATGAGATTTATATAGTATAAAGTCAGACCATTCGGTTTTTGCTTCAAATTTCGAAACTATACAATCAAATTTTAATTAAAAACTGCTCATGCTACACGGTAACCAGGGAAACGCTGTATTGCTGCTGCTCCATAAGCGCCACCTGCTGTCAGAGAGTGAATCTGTGCTCTAGTGCAGCCTGTCTGCTGTTTCTGTTTCGTTCAGATGAGATTTATATAGTATAAAGTCAGACCATTCGGTTTTTGCTTCAAATTTCGAAACTATACAATCAAATTTTAATTAAAAACTGCTCATGCTACATGTATGCAGCATCTTTGTTCGGCTCATGATTAAAATGCAGTTGTTTCCTCTAATTTCAAATAGAAAGAGCAAAGGCAAAGCCTTAGTTTGTTTATATAAACATACTATATTTATACATTTATAAATATATATTTATATATTTATTTAATTTGGGATTTGTTTAAAATTTTCAATTTAGTTTTGTTATTTGACATTTCAATTTCACAAAGAAATGTGCAGCATAGTGTCTGAGAAATAATAAAAGGACAACTATTCATTTATAATTTGTCTTAAATCTCATTTTGATAAAAAAAATTGTGAAAAAAATCATATTGAGAAACCAGTATCATGAATCGTATCGCATTGTGAGTTAGTGAATCGTTACATCCCTAATAACAATTACCAAATTAATGGTTTTCCCTTTGACAAATAATAAAAAAAAAATTTAAATTAAAACCTTAAAAATCAGCCATGCAAGTTGAACAAAGCGTTTGCTTTTTGCCCATATCCAACAAGTCACATAAAATTGCAGTCAAATGCCTTAATAATATATTTAAAAATACATATATTCTGGCTTATTTTCAACTTGATGCCTAAGTATTGCATGTGCAACATGCAGTTGATTACCACACATTTTTCTAAGCTAATCACCTGGTTAATAAATGCCATCTGAACAATAACTGGAGCTACAGGAAAAACACAGAAAACTGCACACAATCCCAAATCTCTTCACTGGAAACTATCCTGAGCTGTGATGTGAAAAGCAAAAGTCCCCAATGAATATTAAATGTACATTTACGGTTTAAATGTCATTATATAAAGTTGACCATCTAATTAATTATTTTAATGTCCGTCAATGGAAGGCAAGGTTTAGTTGAATAGCGCAATTAGGGCATCTACCAGAAAGGACTAACTGGACCATGCTAACCTGCCAAACCTTGACCTTACCAAATGCTACACCAACAGTTAAAACATTGGCTATGCGAGATATGCAACACATACTGTAGTGTATATTAGGGCTGCACGATTAATCGAATGCGATTGTCATGCACATTTTGATGGTAATGCCAGTTCTGTAATCAGCA